AACTGAGGGTCAGAGGCTAGGGTACGGGGCCAGGGGAAGGCTTTTCTGCAGAGTGATGGCCTGAAGGCCAGAAATTATTTTATTTCCGTGGTGGAATCTTTATTGGCAGTGCTGCGAGCTTAATGACTTTTCAGGCGTGCACAGAGGATAAAATGGGCATCGTCTTGTCTCAGCAGTTCGAGCTGCAGAGGCAGTTGGACATGATTGAGTGGAGCGAGAATTTCCTGCGACTACAGCGATCTGTCCTTCCCCCCGCGGACTACTTAGCTGCATGGTACGTCAGTTTGTTTATGGGTTTGAATGGAAGTGCTGCACATATCGTAGTGGATTTACAGGGGTTCCGAGTTGGTATTCTACCCAGCAGCCCAGCCTCGCTCTGTGTGCGTATATGACCCAAATAATTAGGCTCAGGCACTGCCGCATCCGAGATGAAATAGAATCGCTCAGTGGTGACCTCTCAGACCTCTCCAAAATGGTTGTGGTGAGGTTATGGCTCTATTGCAGAAGCACGGAAACGTAGGGTAGATTGCGGTTACTATAGGCAAGCAACACTGCATCTCAAGGGGCAAGCAGTACTAATAAAAGACTAGCCTTACTGCTAGATTATGTGCTTATTACCTGCTCCTGCAGCCTAACGTGCGACTGGCCGGAACTGTTGAATTTCTTACTGAGACAGCACTTGAGCACCACGAGCTGCACCGGCTGGCCGGAAGAAGGATTTAATACGCATCAGTTCCTCGTCTCAAGTTTTTGACAAAGCACAGCGAATCTCCCTTGCCACTAGGTTCTGTCACCAGGTCCTGTGAAGATTTTCAGATCTCTACAGTTCGCACGTACGCATATCACAGTCTACAGTGGTAAGGGGCCTGACTGGAAGAGAAGTCCCCTTAGGGCTTTGAAACGCAGCCCCTGTGCGCATACAGGAATTGTTGCAGCTCACTCGTAAACAAAATACTTCCGTTTATTTTTCCATGGGTAATCGTCGCATATCCTCCGTGGCATTTCGCAGAAGAGGGAGTTGCAACTAAAACATCCACGCAAGCCTCGAATCCCTAAGCCGCGAGCCACGTGTGCTGACGGGAAAAAGTAAAAGCGAAGTGACGCTCCTCTGGAATAGATTTGACTAGGTACCGTGGATTTCTGGGACGCTGCCTTAGGCACTCCTTCCTTCCTAATTCCCGTATGAAAAGCATTCCTCACATTCGCGCCCCAGGCATCCTAGGCAAAGTTCGCCTATCGTAGCGGAATATCAATACTTGGTTCCTTTTCAGATTGCTTCTGTTCCCTGGGTGTTAGTTTCCAACCACGCAGCTGCTCGGGCCCCACACGAAACCCCTACAGCCATATAAATTCCGAAATGAGCTGGACCAGCTTCTAACCGGCTATACGCGAATCGAAGAGATTCCTGTTTCAATTGTCCGCTGTGCAGCTTGCCGGCGCTGTTGCATGCGCAGACGTTCAAGCGTCGTTTCGCACGATTTGGTCTGCTGCATCGCAGCGCTGAGTCCATCAATCTTGGGATCCAATGAAATTCAGCATTGCGCTGTACTCGGAAACGAATACTCATCTTCAACTTGCGAAGTAGTACCCCTTTTCCTTTCCCCTTGCGAAGGGGGATACCACACATTAGACTCACCTTCATGCACACGCTTTCTGCCCCCTCTCAAATGACGCGTTTAACGTGGCAGCCTTGAGCACAATTGAGCGGAGCAAACTCTTGAACTGTCTGAAGTGCAAAGAACTATAGCATCAAGCTTGCCAGAGTCCGAAACAGCACGAAGTATGCCTGCACTTTAAAAACCTGAAACCAATGCTCTGATATGTTTTCAGCTCACTGGTAATCGTTACTTAGGAGACGTTGACTTGTTGGGGAACCAACACACCGGCCTGCATTTTCCGAGCTCAGGAAATACTTCCTTTCGAGCTATTGTGGATGCATGCTTCTCCCCTACGCCACTATTATTCAAAGGAGTAAAGCTCTTCGGTAATTTTGGTGGAAGGCGTTTCTGCCTGTATTGTTCACGTGCCCGACGCTCTTGCGCCGTTACAAGGCGGGTAACCTCGACCATTTGCGCTGTTTTCTATGACCCTTCGAGCAACCTAAAGAGGTCGACACATCGAACAAAGCCTGGAGGCACGCATTGTCTGTTCACTTTTTCCGCCGCTGATGGTGACAGGTCATCGATAAGCTCGTTAGAGTCTGTGTGAGACGTTTTATCCATTCCCCCAGGCCATTGTCCCTCTGGTTGTTCCGCGGCTTTGGGTTGTGGCTTGGCTGCGGCCTCTGCTAATTCGTAGCAATGCTGCATTGTAACGTCAAGCGGCTCAGCTTTTCGGTCGCGAAGCCGTCGAAACCACTCAAGAAAAACTTCCCGCGGCAGCGGCTTCGCACCTAAAGATGCTTTGTAGGGTAAATGCATTCCTAAATCCAAAAGCTCATACCCTGCAACCTCACCACACTCACAGAGGCAGCGTGAAGCTGCTACTTACCATTAGCGCCGCCAGAAGCAACTTAAAGTACAAAATGCGCCAGTATTGCGCAGCCGGTAGCGGCAACTTCCATGTGAATCCAAAAGGGCCTTCCACTTACCCGCTTTGCGTAGAAGCAGCCGAGTGGCTGTGAGCTGCGCAGTGCCAGCTGAGTCTGCATCCGTGAACGCTGTCAGACTGGTATACACTCTGCCAACAGACACACCAACTTCTCCTGCGATAAGGCAGAGGTCCTTGTATTGCGTGCTCGCTTCCCCGATCCGCGGAGAGGAGCCGAGCGACGCCACAGCCTCCGACACCGCAGGAGCAGGCGCACCTTTCCTGTTTTCAGCCTCAAATGAAGTCCCTGTCTCCGCCGTAGGCGTCTTCAAAGGTAGAAGCTTTATATTCCCGATTTCGCACAGGGGAGCCCAAACTTCAAAACTGTGTAGGTGCACATCTTCAGGGCAAGGGCTTCCGCCGCCAGCTTGTTGCGTACCCTGCTGCGCGCCGGGGTAGTTCGGAGCAAGCGTCTCAGCGGGAGGTCCTTCAGGCGAGTTTTCCCGCTGACGCCGTAGGGCAGCATCACGCAACGTTCGCCGGTGCAAAGCTCTGAGACACTGGCGGTTTCGAAAGCAGACAGCACGCAAACTCCTCGCCGTGAACACCCCACTTCTTCCAGAGGAAACTAGACATTCGCGTCCATAGTTTTCACCTTTCATTGATTATAGCTGCCACAAGTGCCCTAGCAAGTGTTCACCGATCTTGGAGAATAAAGAATGGCAGCTGGGATTTACTAGATGAGTAGAAAAGGAAGAACCTCAGTGGTCGCACCTGCCGTACAGATTCCCACAGCCAATTTTCCCCATGGCGCCTCACGCATCCAGCCAATACCTGTAGCCAAAGCCGACGCAGCACATGTGCATAAGGACCGTATAAAAGGAATCGATAGCTGCTGGAAGGCAACTGAAGAGGCATGGCAAGATGCAAAGGACAGCCCACCTCGTCGAAAGCCCTGTCTACGGACACGAGGAAATTCCGAACCTTCCGCCGCAGGCTCTTTGAGGCCAAAAGAACACCTTTCTCCAGATCCAAGAATAAACACATCCGTTCTAGATGCAACTTTGGCAGCAACAGCGTTGTGCTCAAATGAGGAGAGGACTTTCCTAAGAAATGCAGTCAAGGAGGGAAAAACTGAAAGAAACCTTAATAGATAATGCACGGGCGTTCTTATGCACTGCCGCTAGCATTTGGAGAAAGACCGCCGTCCCATTTCGTAAAAATCAACACGCTGCAGACTCCCACTAACAGCACTGCGCGTGGATCGTCAAATATTGTTCAGATGTTTGTCCGTGTGAGCAAGGAAAGGGGTAGCCATATGCTGACCACCTGCATGCACGAAGCGTTCTGCAATTGGCAAAAACCCCGCGCGGCAAAGCCTAGCGTAGCCACATGGAGATGAGCCCTTAGCCCACGCAAAGGAACCTGCAGCAGGAAAACATCTTGCATACTTCGCAGGTAGGTGGAAACTGCCTTTCCACCGAATCGGGTGAAATATCACGTATAGAAATTCGCTGCCTCGTGGGCTACCCAGACACCGCTATTGCCAACTCTGGTAGCATCAATGCGTGCCATATCGACAGCAATGGAGCTCGGCTTCGCCGATAACATACTTGCCTGGGTAACCGCTTGCTGTGATGGCATCCGCAAGCCTCTCTTCGTCCGTCCGCTCGTCAACTATGGGAAGGTAAGACAGGAACGGATGGCTTTCTAGTAAGGCATCAAGAAGGCCAGCCGGAGGTACAGAGCAGCTGCAGGAGCAGCATTGAGAGCATCTGCATACATGGTGTTGGCAAGTTCTTCCCCCAGCCCCTTTGAAAGCACATCTAGAACAGAGGCTTGGGGCGGACCCAGGAGATGAGGGCCTGCTAGCATGGAAGGTCTGAGGGGGCGCTAAGCCTTCACTAGGGTCAGCATGTCTTGGGACCGATGGTTTCTTGGGCGGGTCCGCCTCTGGCGTTGCCAAGGCACCGCAGGGCGTTCCGATGCACAGCCTCGCTTCGTGGCAGGGGCAGCGGCAGCAGCAGCAACAGCCTCTGTTGATGACCTCCGATAAAGGAGTGCATGCGCACAACGCCATTCTCTAGTAAGGCGCAGGCCGCTACATCTCCCGCCGCCCTGACCTACGCAAGCATGGCCTGCCCAGTGATCAAGATGTGATAGCCACAGTTGTTCGATATTCGGAGTACAATTGACGCCATTACAAGATGAAAAAACTAAATCTTAAACGAACTCAAAGGCTTCTTGTGGAATACCCCTGCATATGAATTCGAAGTCCCAGCTGTCGGCCACAGCCCCGCGGCACTTTATGAAGAGGCCTGTCGAGGCGCCTGAGAGCTCCGTATGAGCCGAACATTCATAATGAGCTGTATTAGCAGTTTCTAAGCAGTGAGCGCACAACTGACAGACATTCCTGCTTCACTTTTGCGAATGTGGGCATGGGACACATGTACGGAAGTTGATGGGTGCTGCGGATGTGGCTACTCTTGAAATATCTGTTTCTGGGAAAGATTTAGTATAATATTGTTCAGAGTTGAAGGATGGCTTCTGATCTCTGTCCTCCGTGGAAGTGGGAGACAGAGATCAGTAGCCATCCTTGGTCTGGGTGGGTGCCACTATTTCCACTGGACTGGGGGACACTGCGGTCTAGAGTTTCGGCCTACAGAATTGTTTGTGCAGATTTCGACCATGAATCACAAGATAACGTGTTTTGCCGATAGTTGGCCACACCTATTGCAGAGGGGGGGAACGGGGAAGGGCTTGTGAGTGGGAACTGAACATCTGCATTTCTCCTCAGGATTGTGGGATCTACGAAGGCTAATCAGGAATCCAGTCTACTGATTGATCATGCTTCTCTTTAGAAAGTTAGCTTCCTTGCGAGAACTTGCGTGTCACTATGCGTGCTCTTTTTGCAAGGGCCGTCGTGCTCTACAGGCGATTGCATAGAACATGAAGGCCTACGTTTCCTCGACGGGAATCACGGATGTTATGAACAGAGACAGCTTTTCGGCTGCTAACCTTTAATTACTGGGCGAACTCTTAATTTTTGGGCGGCGCACTGATGGGTCAAACACTGACGGAGCATAGCTTGCCACTACCCCCGAAGCGCTGCTAATTCCTGTCAATTGCCGCCAGAGCAGCTCCGCTGGAGGTTAATGACTCACACGGAGGCGGTTTTATCCCAACGTTAGGGATCATCACTGTTTCGAGACCAACGAAGCATATGTTGGTGGGAATTTAGGTATAGAGATTTGGGCTTATTTTTCCCTGTACACCTACGCACGGTGCAGGCTATGCCACTTTCTCTGTGGTTTGCTGAATCTGGTACTCTGAGAGAAGGCCTCATTTTAGTGCTTGTGGAGTTTCAGTGTTGAGCCATCGTTGGAGATCGCTCCTGACTCCAGAGCGCGCACTGGAACGGAAGGGTCCGGTTGAGTCAAATTTTTTGGTATCTATCGTATCAGGGGCGTGGCCCCTGGTGAGGCACTTACGAAACTCTAAATAGAAATACTAGAAGCCCTAGTTAAGCCTTTCCTATGGGCTCGCCATGACATGTGGGTCGCCGTCCGTTCCGACGTGGAAGGGCATTAGGCTGCATGGCTACTACGATGGTACGCCGCGCAGTGGAAACTGCCTTGAAGCAGGGACGGCAAGAAAATAAGCGCATAGTCAATGGACACTCAGGGGTTCTGACTTGTTGCACCTAGAAGGTAGCGTATTGTGCTCATAAAATGAATAAGTGCTCTATGGTTCCCCGCAGCACTTGCAAACTTTGACGAGGTGGATGACTGTTCATCTGCTCGTACGATACAAAAGTGGCAGACTGAGATACTTAATCAACCTGAAGAGTAAAGGAATAGGAATTGGCACTGCGGCAGATGTGACTTACCCTGTGTGAACAGCGCTTGAGTGGGTCTGAAAGTCTTCTAGTTCGGGCCGCAAGCACGGGTCCAAATGCGTCTGCGTGATTGTTGTTTTTCGTTGAAGGGTGAGTGGGCAACGGAGATTAATGCAATAACAAGTCCGTTTAAGTATAATCCAACATGGGGGCCAAAGAAAAAAGAGATTACACATTTCAAGTTCTCTTGGGTTTCCTCGGCGTGCCGGGATTCGTCACCGCAGATTTGGAAGTTTGGACACGGATTCACACAACAGAGGAGGCTGCAAAGGAATCGCTATGAAGCAAAATTGTTTTAGTGACAATCAAGAAACCCTGTTGGTGGTTTCTAGGTTTGCGCGCCTTTGGGGGGATATCCACGGCATACAGCACAGTTGGACAGCTGGTGCTGGAAAAGTGACAGGGTAGGAATTCTTCACTTAGAAACCCCCCTCAGCAGTTCCTTCCTTCAAAACTGGTGAGGTGGCGGGCTCTCTGCTGGCTGCATGCTGTATAACAACTCCTTTGTTGCGCACTGAAGCAGCATCGCTGCCTTGCTGTACGTGCTGGTTAGTAGCCACACAGTGTGCTGATGACTTGATGTGCTACAATTCCATTAGCGAACGCATGATAGGTGTCCATTCAAGGCATTAGTAGCTGCTTTCCAGGTTTTAAGCTGGGACCATGCACGGATAACAAAACACGCCAGCACGAGCTCCACCAATGTTTTTGATGCTGTGGATGGGCTGGACAGAAGCACTTGAAGCAAAAGCACAACAGATAGAAAGGAGCATTCGCGAGGTTCCAGAACGATTCCTCCATAGCCGGGGCCGACGTCGTACTTGACAAAATAAATAGGCTGACTCGTCACTACGGGGAAGGTATGGTGCTTTACAAAACGGTGGTTTGGGCGTGTATGCTTCTGATCCGCCAGTGACCGCAAGAAAGTCCGCTGTTATCTTTTCTTAAGGTCAGCCTTCTAGCGAAACCGCCGCTGGGCATCTGTGAAGCGAAGAAGATAATGCCTCTCGTCCTAATAATCTATTCATACCTGCTCCGGCAGCCGTAAGGGCACTTACATTGAGAAAAATACGGATGGCCACAAGCTCCTTCGCAGTTGTTCATACTTTTCTGCCACAGCAGATTTAGGCATATTGACAAAACGAGCAGCATCGTCTTTGTTGCCTTTACAAGTGGCCAGAGGAACGTCTGTCGAAGCCATGTGGAGCCTGAAGAATTGATAAACCTGTGGCAATTGGTTTGCTCCAGGAGCACAGTGCACAAAGGCTTCCTGAGCAATATGACTCTCTCAACACCGAGCATAAACGCCCAACAAGGTTCGAGTGGGACTAGCTCTTGCTTTGTGTCTTAGTGTTGACGCTCTTCTGCTCCGAAACAGAGACAGCATTATTTGCCTCTCCCTTGAATATCTGTTCGTGAGTATGAGTGCCACTGCCCGGGCAGAAGGATGGCGTTGTGGGCCGTCGGCATATGCAGGTGTACTATGTACTGATATGCACGCTGATTTGTACGCAGGACAACGTTAAAGCTAGGATGCATTTCGCCTCTGCAGAAGTAAGCAGCAGGCGTTCGCTGTTTCCATTAGAGGTGGAGCCTCACAAGAGCAGACCAACAAACAAAGCCGTCAATTGTCCCCACCAGGTGGGAATGGCGCGTAAACGATTGAACATATGCGGATATTTCAGCCTTTGGTTTAGCTGCAACGGGCGATGCGAGGCCTTAACAATCATCCATTGCCTGATGAAGTAACCGCCTGCGTGCTTTCAGTATTCCGGTTGAGTGCGTGCAGGAATGGTGCTGTTCCAGCACGACAATTTAAAAAGAATCAGTGTTTTTCTCGCCGACAGCATGAAATCTACTTTGAATAAACTAAAAGAGCCCTCTGCATAAGAAGCATTGTTGCTTGTGAACGGCACCTCTTCATTACGGCATCTTCTCAAGAAGCACAGCACCAGCAGACCACACAGAGTGGCTTTCAAAATTAAAACGTCCCAATATAACACCTCGTTGCACTTCCAAGTAATGAGCAGAAGCATCCACTGTTCGGCCTCCCTTGCCTGAATTAGATATAGAATCGAGATTGTGGGCCAGCTTCAAGAAGGCACGGCCATGTTTTTCCAGTTGTAGACTTGTTAAGTTCACTACGAAAGTTGCGACTCGAGCCACTTACGCCATTTTGAAGATTCAACGGGCGCTGCCCATCCCACGGAAAAAACGGCGGCACCAATTTGCTCGATAGGCAGCATTCTTTCTAGCCTCTCCAGGATACGCCGTTGTCATCCGTAGCATTACCGGGCGCTTACATTTTCACGTGGGTCCCCCCCTACTGCAGGAGACCCATATTATCTCAACAACCCTGTTGGGATTTCCGCAGCGAAGGTGTCTGCTACGACCTTAGCTGTGTACGCGGGACTGTCAAGAACAGTGCTGCCCGAAACCGTGGTTGTAAAGTGTTAATCCAGCCAACAGATTTCAGCACTTCGTTTACGACTGTTCGCAGCGATTAGCTGCATCTCACCATGGTTCCCCTGCATGCTGATAGTGGCCTTAGTATCAAGGAATAACGAACACTGTTCTCAATCCGTTTAGCTGTTTTCGTTTAAAGGCATGTACGCTGAAAAGCCAATTCATGTCGCAGCGGTCCGGCAAAACGCATTTTTTTCTGCGTGTCTCGCAGAAGTGGGTGGCATCAGAGCTGGTCTGGCAACTCCCGTGAAAGTTCATCCTTACCGATGCATTAAACTGGTCATATACCACGCCTGCATTTTAAAAAAACAATGCCTGTTAGTCACGATGAACGTTCAGCTCCATATTGGCCAGCTTAAAGCCGACCCTCGCACATAACCAGGAAGTTCCTCTTCAGAGAGCAGGGGACACTATGGCTACCTTTTCGAGCCGGTAAGATTAGCTTTTCTTCCCTTGCAAGCGATGCAGTTCTCTGTGTTGCAGCGCTGTATCCGTGAGGAATTCAACCGTACCTTCCAACCTCATATTTGGCTGCAAAAAAAGGCGCGCACGCCCCCCGCGAAATAGGCAACTGAGGCGTCTTCAACGAAGAGGTGTACACAGTCACCTCGAAAATGCAAGTTAAAGGCGTCGCACCAGCAGCTATTACTTGCTCATGGTGAACTAAATGCTTACGAGGACCATCTGTGACAAATCGGAGAAATCCCCCGCCAGTGACTCCATTTCATCTCGTAAGCGGCAGTGTCTGAGCCTAGGCATTCACGCAAGACACATACGTACATCACAGGCGAGCTGAAGATATCCTAGGAGGAGCAAGGAGCTCGATTCACTCAACTACAATGTGTGCTGAGCTTGGCCCGCTTAAATCGACCAAGTACACTGGCATACCATGCAGCTAAGTAGTCCGCGGGGGGAAGGACAGATCGCTGTAGTCGCAGGAAATTCTCGCTCCACTCAATCATGTCCAACTGCCTCTGCAGCTCGAACTGCTGAGACAAGACGATGCCCATTTTATCCTCTGTGCACGCCTGAAAAGTCATTAAGCTCGCAGCACTGCCAATAAAGATTCCACCACGGAAATAAAATAATTTCTGGCCTTCAGGCCATCACTCTGCAGAAAAGCCTTCCCCTGGCCCCGTACCCTAGCCTCTGACCCTCAGTTGGTTCATCGATTCTTCCAATATGGAGTAGCACCTCTGTTCAACGGAGCGGCAGTTGCAGCGAGCTCGACTGCGAAAAAAAAGGAAAGCATAAGCATGAACTGCCTGTCCACAAGCGGATGCAAAGAAAAGCAATCAACACCAGAAATTAAGGGACGATGAAGTACTCGATGAGGCTCTGAAGGGACTCGAGCTTTTGTGTAAGCTCTGTCCTGCGCTTCTCCAATATGAGATGAGGCTGGCGGCCCCTTTCCAAAGTCCCAGAGTACGCCAGTGAGAGTGGAATTAAAGTGCAAGCCCCTACAAACAATGAACGCGCAGTGATACCAGCATGCCGGCCCCTTGTTTCAGCAATTAGAATTTTCTCGAAAGCAGACGAAGTCCCCACTGCCATCTTCCAAATCAAACTAACCGGCGGAACTCCTGCTGGACGCGGCCCCCGTCGCATCCGCATGAAAGTGGTTTGGCCGGCACATACGGCACACAGGGGTATGGCACATTGTACAAAACGTTTCATACTCTTCCCCTGCGTGTTGTTTGCAGCGTCCACTAGGCTTGGGCATCTGAGCAAATACGCAGAGTCATAGTAGCCAAGGGGGAATTTCCTTCTGAAGTGAGCTTAAGGCGTAAGGAGGATAGTCCGTTCTTTCAGGTAGCACTAGAGTCCCCACCTCATTTAGTGGAACCCGGATGTGCCTCGACACCAGCTTGTTGTAGGAGTGTAGGCGTTCGTCGCACGCCTCGCACAGCCTGAAGAAGCAAACGCAGTAAACGGACGAAGGAATGCGCCAACGCACAAGCTGCAGAAGTGTGATGAATGATTTGCAGCGTGCTTCTACATACTTTGCCATGTCTGCAGGGCACCAAATTGCAGCTGGGAAGTCTTGGCAGGTGTCGCAGAGCGGCACAGCAAACAGCTCAGGCTCTGTGGGGTCGACTTCGAAGAGCACCAAATAATTTGGTACCACCTAAAGCTCGCCCGATGCAAGGCGCACAACACATTGTGAGATGCTGAGGCATCCAGTTGTTGCCCGTTCATCACCTGAACTGGGAAGAGCCGCATATCAATCACTTCAACTTCCATCCGTACCCATTATTCAATGTGCTACATTGATCGCACCTGTGATGAATCGTAAACGACGTACTCCTGACGGAATGTGTGTCGAGGTAGGACTCCCGCCGTAGCCATGGAAAGCCCTCTGTTTGCCTGTCGGATGGCTTCTGCCTTTCTGATACAGGACAACCCCTTCGACTGTTCCGGATCATCAAAAAAGACTGTGAGCGTCTCTGTTGGTGCTGCACCCCCGTTTTGCAGATACGCGCTATCGTATTCTGGTGGAAGGGTGGTGCGTTCGCCTGAGGCTTCTCTTTCATCAGACATGACAACCGAGTGACCCACTCCTGACAAAGGCACGCCAACACACCCGCTTCCTTCTACTTTACTGAGCTATTCCCAAAGACAAAGCCGCAAACAGGGAAGGCCTATGATAGCTTAATAACGGTGATTGCAGTGGGTGTTCCAGTGGTTTCCTTGTCCGCAATCTCTCACCAACTTTACAAAGGAAGTATTCGTAGATGCGTCGTTCTCCACTGAGAAGCTGTGCCTTCGCCGCTTCAATGAACTCTGACAGACCGTGTTTCCGTTGCCCTTCGGCGCAGGAGGTCATCTCTGCTGCACAAAGGTACGAGGCAGAAACGGCAGAATCTATAGGTGCACGTGTCTACACTCTGCTATGCCCCCTGAAGGAAGGCTACATCTTGCAATAAGGAGAGGCAGATACAGCTAAATTCTGATTTGCACTTTAGATGAGAGTGTGCAGGCGCAGGGAGAATGCATCGCCGTGCTTTTGCATCAGGGGCCCACATGAAGGAAGCGTAAAAGGATCCCGTGCATCCTTTGGCCCCCCGCGTAGAAGCGGGATTCCCTGCAAGCTTCAAGAAACCGAACGTAAACAACGGGCATCTCCACTACTCCTTCTGCGGGAGCTGCGGAGATCGTTGTGCCAACTTCTAATGTGTCGTTGAGGACAGCCAAGGGATTTCATTTGTTTAGGCGAGCTCTCCACCCGCGCTAACACACCTGAAGTTTCCCAGAACGAACTTCATTCCCCGAGGACCGATCTTGAAGCCGCGTCTGGCAACATCTTGAATGGAATTGTCTTCATCGAGCATAGAAGCGTCGACGAATGAATACACCACAAGACG